GCTTCTTTGTCTCCTTTCACTTACAATACGGCACAAGTAAACCTCAAACTTCCAACACTATTCTTCTTTGCCTAACATGACAAGACAGAATATATATAAATAGACATATATATCACTTATTTGTATTAAACTTGTACCCATGCAAGTCTAGGTTACAGAAAGATATGCATCACACATATACTAGCAGACAAATACAGCACTGGCTGAAGTCCAACCTAGTGGTCTATTAGGACTACTGCAGAACAACTTCCTTTCTAAAATTCATCAATTAATTTGACTATTTGGAAAATAAAAAAGGAAGCAGCACAGAGTAATGAGAAGAAATAAGATTGTGAAGTCAGATAGATGTGGGGTTGTGTCGTTGCTCTGTTTTCTAGCTGTATGCTCTTGAAGTTTCACCATCTCTAGTGAGTTTATACCTCTCCTGAAATAGAAATCCCAATGCCTTAGAGGGCTACAGTGGTCATTCAAGATATGCTATAATATATACAACTTGCCTGCCACACAGAAGGTAAGGAAGGTCAGTCTATTAAAAGTATCTGTGTCTATCCATATGCTTAATGTACATGTTTTAAGCTACAGGTAAAATCCTCTTACACTTTTACGATCTGAAAGAGTATCTAATCTGATTGCTTGCAAAGAGCCATTTAATTCTGGTTCTGATTTTTAATGATTAAAAATGTTCTTGAATTATTTCTTAAAGACAAATTTTGATTACTGTTAATATCGCACATTTCATCATATTAACATTTGAGCCATTTACATTTATTTATTTATTTATTTTTGAAGTGATGAGGCTCAAACCGAAGGTTCTGCTTGTGCTAGGCAAGCACCCTACCACTGACCTACCCTCTGAGGCTCCATTCACCTTTTTAAGTAGTTCTAACTTTTAACAAGATACGTATAAAAAGAGGCTAGGACTGAGGAAAACACCAAAGTCTAAGGAATACACTTGATACAGCTGATACAAGCAAAACATTCTACGGTTAGCAGTGTGTTAGACATGGACTCGTAAATGGCCTCTGGAGACTATTACTTTTCCATGCCATGTTTCTTTCACTGCCTTTCATACCATGAGCCTCTCAACCCAAGAAAATAACTGGAGTACAAAAGCAGTGATTTCTACATAGAGCACTTCTGAATGCGCCATATTTTCCTCAGAGAAATTCATTTCCCACTATGTGCACCCCACCATTTCTTCTTTTGGATTGTACATAGCCAGTATCAAGGACTGATTAGCAGATTCAGCCTAGGCAAGCTGTAGCTGGTTGTTTGCTCTTGTTGAACCAAAAGAACACTCCTTTCATTCCATATTTTAAAACCTTTAAGTCAACAAATCAGCAACCATTTTTAAAAAACATGCAACATATTATGTTTGGGGGTGCTATGGAAGATGTGAAAGATTATCAATGAACAGGACTACTTCCTGCTTTTCCTAGCTAACAAAATGGAGTTAGTATAGTGTATTGGAAATCATATATTAAGGAATGTTGGTTAACCAGTCACCCTTGCCAAGATCAGATATGAAAAGAAAACAAAAGTTGGCAACAATTCTACCTCTGATATTTCTCTTCCAGAATTATATTTAATAAGGTTAATCTTTGAAAATGCATTATTTTTCTTACCTGTTTTAAACTGAAACTTGGAGACAATCTATAAATACAAAGCTCACAAATACATGTAAGACTAACTTACATGACTACCTCTATTGTTTTATAAAATCAACTTAATTTTTAAGAAGACTCATGTTTAGGTCATATTTTTGTACCTCCTCTCTAGTAAAGGTCACTAAATTATATTTTTAGCCTAACAGCTTCTAAAAAGAAGCGAAACTGAGAGCAGTATGAGAATATAAAAGCAGCCTCTGAAATATCTTTAGTTTTAAGCAAAAACTAACAAGTACAGTATATCTTGTTCTTTCATGGGACCAGCAAATTGATAGTTTGTTTTTTTTTTTTTAAGTTACAAAAATAGGATGGAGTAATTATATTTACCAAACTCACAACAGCCTGTTCAACGGAGAGCAATACTGTAATTTTTCTTCAAAGACAGTAAATTGGAAAAGTCCCTAATTCTGTAATATAAGGAAAAATTCCAAACACTTGGGCGTCACTTACAGGCATAAAACTTTCACTAATTTCAGAGGTTATCCTGAAGAAGAGGGGCAGACATAAAAATCTTTGATTTTAATGGGTACTATTTATGTAACTTATACTTTATAAGTGTATTTTCTATACTTTCAATTTCTATACACAAAGACCAGAAACTGAAGGAGAATCTTAAGTAGAAAAACCCCATTTTTGTATCTCATTTAAAAGATACAATAGGTATTCAGACAGAACGGGTCTTTGAGTCTGTACTACTGCTAAAATTTTTTTTTTGCAAAATCTTAGTGTTAAATTTCCCTCTGAAAGTATGAATGTATCTGATGTCAAAAGAGGAAAATGTACAGTTAAATTAAATTTTACAAAATTGGTTATATAATTAGTTTCTTTCTAAAACTTTAAAGAATAATAAATTATAACCAGCAGGCACAAACACAAAATACATGAAAATAACTTGATTCGAGTCCTTCTCCATAATCACAGTTATATAGCTTCAGATTCAAATGAATTTCAACCCGCTGCCATGAAAATTTAAAAAAAAAAAATCTGTATGAGAATCAGTATTTTACTACAAATGAAACTTTTACATACAACATTTTGGTTAATAAAAAACTTAAAAATATTATGCTTACGAACTCACTATTTTATATCCTGTGCAACTATAACCTACTCCCTAAAGAAAGAAAATCCAAAAATTAAGTATGGGTTACTAGGTCACTGAATTCTATCCACCTTCACAGTATTCCTCTTATTTTGTGTCAAGAGACAGCACCAAACAACTTCTATATAATATTTTTACAGTGCATGCTCTTAAACTAACATTCATGGCTCATTAAATTGGCTAGAATGCTGATGTCTGTGAAATTATTACATCCAAAAATTGGGTCTCAGGAGTCTAGATAAAATTAATTTTTCTAATTTGGGGGTTAGTTTTTCTTTTTTTAAAATCTGGTGTTAATTTGTAGTACAGCTGACCTCTAAGAATTATTCTAGTGAATTTAATCCGATCTGCACAGAAACAGGAAACCTTAGAGGTAAGACTATGATACATGTACAAGTGAACACAGAAAATTATACTACTAATCTTCTTTCGTCTCAATATTGCTACAGTACAGTGCACAGCACATTTTAAAAGCACTTTTTTTTGGAGGGACAACTTCCATTTAATAAACGGACCATAATTTTTAACAAATAATCAAGTGCATAAAAGGTCAAATTACTTTAGATAATTAACCAAAAGCAAGGATTCTTACTGTCAGATTCGTCTTGCAATAAGACACACTCTCCTCCATAGTGCCAGGAAATTCTACAGGGCACCGGAGGACCGTCACAGAAAATTTCCAGCAAGTCTACATGCCCATCAAGACCGTGTGCTTTTGCATACACCACTCTAGAGTTTTTAAAAACAAAGATTATACCTGTCACATTTAAACACTTCCTCTAACAGAAAAACGTCCAGTAGCCACAAAAGGACGAGGCGAAGGAGCGGTGGGTGGAAGGCAGGTCCCGCAGGGCGCTCCGCACGGGCACCGAGCCGCTGAGCCGGCCCGCGGCCCCGGATCCGGCGGGAAGCCCCGCACCGTCACTGTCCCGGCTGCGGCAGAGGCTGCGGGAGCAGCCACACCGCGGGGACACTGAATGGCTGACACATCCGGTCCTGGCTCTCTCACCACTCCTCCAAATGCAAACTTCAAAGGCCGGATTCAAACTCCCAACGCCAGCCGCTCGAGCCTCGGGACTGCGGTCCCAACGCCCCCAGGACACCGGGAAGCCCTCGGGGGGGACGCAGCGAGAAGCCCCGCACGTCCTCCCAGTCCGCCGCGCCGCCGTGACAGGCGTTCCCCGCAGTCCCCCGGAGCCCCGCGGGGCCGGGACCCACACGGGACTCTCGAGGGCTCTCGCCTGTCACGGCACGGGGACCTGCGCCTCTCCCTGCTCCCCCGTGCCCCCGACCCGACCCTGGGCTTCTCTGACCGCCTAGTTCCCCAAGCCCCCGCCCCAGGGACACGCGTCCGAGGGCGCCGCCGAGGGGCTGTTAGGACCCTCGGCCCAGCCCCGGCGCCCCGCACCCGGGTTCCTCGCAAAGCCCTGACCCCAGGGACCCCACACCTTTTTGCAACCAGTGCCCGCAACGGCTGGCTCGCACGCCTGTCACATGCCTGCAAACAATAACAAACTCTGCTGCACGTCCCCGTCCTGTCCCCAGGCGGGGTCCCGGGAGCCGCCCGACCCGGAGGGCTCAGGGGTGCCCGGGACGCTGATCCCGGCGGGCGGCGCCTCGCTCGCCGCGCCCGGTTCATTCATTGCCCACACCCGCCGCCCCGGCCGCGCTGCTCACCCGGCGGGGGCCGCTGCAGGGGGCGGCTCGCCGGCGGGCGCCCGCTTCTCCCCGGGCTCGGCGCCCCGGCGGGGCACGGGACGCCGCTGTCCGGCGCGGCCGCCGGTTCCGCAGGGTGGGCGCCGCTGCTGCTGCTGCTGCTGCGGCTCGCGGCTCCGGGAGTCGGCGGCACCGCCACAGGCTGGAAGCTGCTCCCGCCTACCGCCGCGTCCGCGAGCTCCGGCGACGGGGAAGTGGAAGAGGACGGCGGCGAGGCAGCGAGGAAGAGCGGCGGCTCCGGCAGCTGGTCCAGCTCCACACTCCGCACTTTGCGCAGCTGCCGCCGCCGCCAGTCCGCCCGCTCGCGGCCCGCGCTGCCAGTCTCCCGCAGCAGCCCCGCGCCTGCCGCGGGCGCGCTGCTCGTCTTGAGGGCTCCTCCGCCACTGCCCGCCTCGGGGCTTGCTGCCCCGGAGCCCGGGAATCCCGACGACGAGGCGCGATTCCCCGCCGCCGCCGCCATTTTCTCTCGCGGGCTACATTCGCTCGGCCCCTGCGAGGGAGGGAGGGGGCGGGGAGAGCGCAGGGGGCGGGCGGACCGGCGGGCGGGCGCTGCGCCGCCGGCGTAGGACCGTTTGCGCTAGCTGCGTGAGCGCGGCCGCGTCGTCCGACTTGAGAGGATCGGCTGGGACGCGCTACGCCGGAAGCGTAGGACCGTTTGCGCTAACTGCGTGAGCGCGGCCGCGGGCCCAACCCGAGAGGACCGGCGAGCGGGCGCTGTGCCGCTGGCGTAGGACCGACTGCGCCAGCAGCGTAAGCGAGGCCGCGGCGCCCGCGGGGTTGGACCTGGCCAACCGGCAGGCGGGGGCTGCAGCGCAGGTGGGACGCAGTGGGTTGTGCTCCGGTTGCGAGGGCTGGAGGACTGGCGAGATGGGTGCCGAGGGGCCGTGCGGGGCGCTCCGGGCTGTGCGCCCTGCATGCGCCGCACAGCCAGGTAGCCCCGGCCATACCGGCGAAAGGAGGAGCTTCGGCGGCGTCCGCATCGTGCAGCTTCTCCTCCGCCGCAATCTCGGCCAGGTTTGGCGGGAGCTGCCCCAACGGCGAAAGAAATTATTAGTTGAAATTTGAGTTTGTGGCGCTCGAAGGGGACGCACTGCCCTTTGCAGCGGGCGTGCGGGGTCCCGGCGCGGATCAGCCTCCCACACCTATCCGTCCGCTCCGAGCCCGACGCGCAGGTGGCGCCCGGGACTGTCGCCTGCTGCAAAGGGAAAGAAAGCCACCGGGCTGCCGTGGATCAAAACTAAGTAAATGAAAGAAAAATGAAGTTTTAAGAAAGCATTCCTTTTGTCCCATCCCGACCCGTGCTACTAGTGAAACTTCTTCTTGGAATACCTTGTCCACATGCTGAAGCCACTGATTTGGGACAACTCTCCCTCTCTTCCCGGCTAGAGACAGGGAGGGGCGGGGGTCCCCGCGGGTCTTTATTTATTTATTTTTCTCAGCTGTCTTGGGAAAGCAGAGAACACGTTTAGGGAAGGAACCCGCGCTGTGCCAGGAAGTGCTCGATCATGTCATCTTCGGCCAGCGCCCGGCCCTCCCCGAATCCGATGCTTCTCGCTGCACGTCCCTCTTCCCGGCAGAGTCAGGTGACAGGCCAGGTTCCCCGTCCCCCACCCCGAACACCAAGGGTGTCCAATCCGGCCAATGGAGCCTTTCAGTTCCTGGGAGTCTCCGCAAGAAGGTGCTTTGGGATGGAAAGGCGATATTTACATGTTGAAGATATTAGACATTTTCGATCAAGTAGAGCTTCTGTGTCGCGTTTGTTCCCTTCTTTTCCTCTAGCGAGTTTTGTCTAGGATGGGAAATCTCCCAGAACCAGGAGCAGCGTCTCTAGATGTATTTTGTGAAACATTAAGACATGGTGTGTGTTTGAGGGGGGGGGGGTCCATTAGTCAGAGAAAGGGAAGAGCTGTCTTATCATTCTTCCTGTATTTAAACAAAAGCCTGAACTAGCTACAAAATAATTTCTTTGACTTCTTGTGAATGGCTCAAATAAAAGCCCCTTTGCACGTATAATATTAACCGAAGAGCAAGGCAGATTTTGAGAGAGGGACTTTTAGAGTCCCGATTTCATATTAGCTCGATGTTTTGTATTGTTATAACATCTGCAATAAGAGTTGTAGATTGTTACATCCAAAGGTACAAATTTTGAAAGTTTAGATAAATCTGTTAAAAAAATTAGGTCTCAATTTAGGCTCTAATTATATGCTCTTTTAATGGTAGTCAAGCATATCATCCAAACCAAACAGTAGTTATTTCCCAGGTCTTCCCAGATTGCCACACCCACCAAATCTTCAATCGAAAGCAATGAGCTTCCTGGCTTCTACTTACATCTAAAGAAAAAAAAATTAAATTTGAATACACATGCTCAGTTACGTGTGAGAAAAGTAAGTGAAAACCTTTAGTCTTTGTTACCAACTTTGGGCCAGTTTTGAAGTATGGCCACAGTAAGCAAAGTAAAAACAGGATTCCAGCAAAAGGTTGACTTTTGTCTCTTTAATTGTACAGCAATTGAAACTGGGGACCCAAGCGAGAGGGTTACTAAATGCAACTCTATCAACTAACTAGTTCTCTGAACTCCATCCACCACAGGCCACCAGAAAGAAACTTAAATGCTCATTTTTCCCGTAATTTTGGTTGAGTCGTTTTTCCTTTAATCTGTGTTAATATTCTGATTGTCATTATGCATTGGCACATAAGCACACTGATTTTTTTTTTTTTGCAGTAGTAAACCCAGGGCCTCATGTATGCAGATGCTCTACCACTTGAGCCATGGTCCCAGACCAATTTCCTTGAAAGATAATCAAAGGACTTGATTGACTAAAAAGGCTTCCACTCTCTGCTACATGTTAATATAAAGTCTTGTTTGAAGAGCAGTTAACTGTGCATTTCTATACAACTTTCTGAGTGTTAAGCATGGTTTAGCCTTCAGCTCTGGTTTTGGGGTTGTTTGGATCTTGCTTTATGTTATTGCACAGAGATATGTGTAAAATGTCAAGCTACTGTAGACTCTAAAATTGCCTTAATTTGATTTCTTTTTAAAAATGTTTTTATTAGCTTATACTCTCTCTACAACAAAATTAGAGATAAGGGCAAAATAGTTTCTGCTGGGTATTGAGGGGGGGAGCGGGAGGGGGTGAGTGGGTGGTAAGGGAGGGGTGGGGTCAGGGGAGAAATAAACCAAGCTTGTATGCACATATGAAATAATAAAGAAAAATGAAAAAAAAAAAAAAAAAAGAAGAATTAACCTAGAAGGTAACACCCACGCACAGGAAATCAATGTGAGTCAATGCCCTGTATAGCTATCCTTATCTCAACCAGCAAAAACCCTTCTTCCTTCCTATTATTGCTTATACTCTCTCTACAACAAAATTAGAAATAAGGGCAGAATAGTCTCTGCTGGGTATTGAGGGGGGAGGGGGCGGAGTGGGTGGTAAGGGAGGGGGTGGGGGCAGGGGGGAGAAATGACCCAAGCCTTGTATGCACATATGAATAATAAAAGAAAAAAAAAAAAAAAAAAAGAACGCTATGCTTATGAAAGAGTAAAAAAAAAAAATGTTTTTATTAGATATAGTTATACAGGGGGTTTCTTTGTGAAATCTTCGTATATGCATATATTGTATCCTGGTTTTGTTCATCCCTTCCATTATTCTTCCTCTTCCCTCATCCCCCCTTCTTAAAGTGACTTTGCCAGGTTTCAATGTTCCGTATTCATATATGTTGTAGAAAATACATCACCCATGTTCACTCTCCTTACCCTCCTCATTTACCCTCCTCCTCTTGCTACCCTCTCCTTAACAAGACCTGCTTCACATTCCTGTCCTTCACTGTTTGTCTGTTCATTGTTCAGTGGGGTTTTGCCTTGGTATTTTACCTGTAAATATATTGTACTTTAATCAGTCTAGCTCCTTCTGTTACTTTCCTTACCCTTTCCCCCTACCCTGTTTTGTTCCTACCAATTTGATTTCTTAATGACATAGAAGAGACTAGTATTGCATCCAAGGTTGCTTCTGAGCTGAAAACCTTCTATTTACTATTTACAAGCTCTTCCTTTCTGTTCTCACGTGGGTATGAACCTTACAGTGATTCCTTATATTATGACAACTTCAGCAACCTTTACCCCTGTGCTTTCTAGGTCACTGCTCCCACATAGTGCTGTGGGGAATCACCTTAAGTCACATTGGATTTCCTATACCCAGGTTCATTTGGAGAATCCAGTTAAGCATTGGGCATTTCTTCATGTACCATAAATATCACAGACACTAAACTGAAAAGACATGCACTGGCAGAAATATTTCAGCCTGTATACCATTCGTCATATACTTATTCAGCACCTCCTGTACATGCAAGAAATTTTTTCCCTCCTGGGGTATATGGTTTGTTGATTTCCATTTCTACAGAAATAAAAATAGTCTCATCTACAAATGTTTCTATTAGTGGGTATTAATCAAGCTGATTCTAATAGAATTTCATTTTCATGGGTATGTGAATATATTCACATCATAGATCTTTTTGTGAGATCTATGACATAGGTAGACATAAAAGAATAACCTGGAGACTCAGCCAAAAGTTGGTGTTCTGTCAGGCCTATAAATATTTATTATGTAATGCTTGCAGAAGAAATGGGGCCAGAACTTGGTTTCTCCATGCTCTTTCCAGACTCCATACTTACCAGGTGTTCTAAACCAGGAAAAACTTATCTGTGATGTAATTAGCCTGCTCCAAGGGCACTGGAGGTGAAATGATAGTAGCAAGTCTCCTAACCAGAGTCCATTTAGCTGGCTTACACAGTTGCACATGCCTGCTGTTGCTGGTATGGTGTGCAACATGCAGACAGATACTCCAGCACAATCAACGCTCACAGCAGTGCTGTTGTGCACCTGCGCGCTTCTGTCCTCGCTAGGTGAGTTGTGGGCCCCATGAGAATCCAAACTTGTTGCCAAACCTTATTACACCTATTATAACTGTCCTTGTGGAATTCAGTGAAATGTTATTCAGTTTATTATTAAATTGATAAAACACGAGTGCGTGAGTGCAGATAATTGTTGCAATGTAAATGGCACTGAATGCTTTAAACGAAGGTGAAGCACCAAAAAAAAATTTCTGTCAAATTAGTTGCGGATATGGCCATTATAAAAGATGGGAAGAAAGCATCCAAATGTAAAAGAATTTACTTTGCAAGTATTCATCAGTCCTCACTTTGCTTTAAAGAAACTACAACTGAACATTGTAGACAAGGCAAAATATGAGAAAAATACATGGCACTGTAAAAAATGGACCCACACTCTAAAGATCAAGGTCCTACAGTCAAATACTGCCCCAAACCCATCAAAACAAAACCCTGTTATTCATATGTTTTAAATGAAAGTAAACTATTTAATATATAGATAGATAATTCCCTTATTAAAGAATCATCTAAACATTTTGCATGTATTTACACCGTATGTACTTGAAATTAGAAACTAAATTATATAACAATGTTAAAGAGTCAAGTTGGGATTTTTTTTTTTTTTTTTTGAGGTGCTGGGGTTTTAACTCAGGGCCCTAACCTTGCTAGGAAAGTGCCCTACAACTTGAGCCACACTCCCAACCTTTTCTGCTTTAGGTATTTTTTCCAGCAGGGTTTTGCGTTTACGCCGATCCTTGATCCTTCCAATCTCCCTCCCAATTAATTAGGATTACAGGTGTGAGCCCCATCTTGCCCAGCTCAAATTGAAATCCTATATTTAAGAATAAAGCTACAATTTGTTAAATTTAATCAAGCTGAAAACAAAATTTTGCACTGATTCTTTGAGCCACTGTTCCACCTGCCTTCACCACCATACTTAGTGGTTGCTATTTTTTTATGTATGTTGAGATATTCTTTCTCTTTTTGACTTTTGTGGCTTAGTCATGCCTATCATTTTTGCAAAAAGTATTCGAGCAGTTCGTGCATTTTTCTCAAGGTCTTCATATAATATTCAATTACTTCGTTTGGATCAGAGTCCTTTTCTGTTTTCCTTTCCTTTTGTGGTTTACTGGTCCAGCTACTAAATCCTGCATTAGGAAGGCTTTCCATGTGACCTGGGTACCTCAGTACCACTTCTGTTACCTTCATCCATTTCTGCATCTTTTCAACAGTTACATGTTCACTTTGCAACTGATTTGCATTATTTTGGAGCTAAAGCTCTTAAGAAGATACACAAAATTTACATCCACTAGAAAATTCTGTCCAATAAAATATAATGCAAACCACAAATGCAAGCATATATAATCTAAAATTTTCTAGTGATCTCATTTAAAAACAGATGAAATTAATTTCAATACTATATTTTATACACCAAATATTATTTCAGTATGTAACCATATAATACATACAATGTTGCTAGTGAGATATTTTCATTTTTTGCACTAGATCTTAAAAATCTGCTGTATTTTATAAACTATACTTATAGAACAACATCTGAAGCATCTTAATTTGGACTCACCATGTTTCAAG